GTCTATGAGGGTAGTTATGTATTACAGTTTTGAACTATTCGTGAGCAGGGGTATCTTTTCATTCCCTCTCAACTCCATCCAAGCACTCCGAGGGAAGTGTGGCAAAGCGACGTTTGCGAGGTATTAAAGAAGGATTTCGCGATAAGGACAAATATCGAAGAGGAGGGATACTCACCTAGTGGAAGGGCAGGCGGACCTCCTGAGGGTGCGGTTCGACACGCAATCAAAGCATATGCCCCGGTGATCCAGCAGGGCTTCCACCGCGGCCCAGTTGGTCCTCTATTGGCCCGGTACACCCTCATCCCCTCTCGCATGTTTCGTGTATGAGTCTCTAGCCGTCAGCAGAGAGAGCGTTAGCGTTGAAGAGGGCAGCACCGATGAGAGTCGCATCAATGCGCAAATCAACGGGCAAGGAAGGGGTCCCATTTCTCGGGTTCTAGGCCTTTTCATGGTTTTTTCTTCTTTCGTGCATCACTGACCATCTCTAGCTTAATTTCGAATGGGCTGCCTTTCTTCGTGAATCCGCCTTTGATTTATCGATTTAGCGAAAGCTGTTGTCTGCATTGTCTTCTTTAATTACTCATATATCTACATGCAGGACCTTCAAGTGCTAGGGCTGAACGGATTGGCTGTTTTGGCTTTCCTGGAAGATTAGCTCAGAGCCAGTCGCGACATTTGGTTAATAATTTATGCTCTATGCTCGCATAAATAGTAACATCGGAATAGCACACTTTTTTTGCAGTCCAGGTTGATGACGCTTCAGCACGGGAAATGCTGTGACACAGACTTATTAATCTCTATTTGCGTTACTGTTATTATTTTCATGCACCGTAGGCAACCGGCTGATTCAGCTACAAGTTCGGAAAAGTGCGAGACGGTTCTGTAAAATTCAAAGAAGAGTTCTATGTATGAATATATGTGGCCTGCGTCGCTATTGGAGACGAGTTCTGTGATTGTTGTTTGTGATGAGAAGTATAAAAATCCAAAAATAGAACTCATAATATCCAGTTATAATCCACTCCATTATAGTGAGCAAATACAATATTTTTTCTGTCGAGAAAATATACTTTGATTGAGAAAACACTTGAGTTGGATCTTTATAGGATAATAGCGAACAATAACTGGTTAACAATTTCAAACCAGTGATCAAAGAATGGAATGTGGGAGTGCTGTGAGACGGAGATCACTGCAAAACATTTTAAAAGCAAACAGCATCACCATGCTTAGTATCCTGTTTCTTGAAATAAGACGGAAAACGGAATCACGAGGGGTGAAAATCGGTCGAGGACTTGTCGACGGCTCGTCGAGGATTTTCGCCTGTTCAGTCACGCTCTCCCGCGCGGACATTCACTCTCGCCACCGCGAGCCGTCTGTGCTCTCCGCGCGTACATTCACTCTCGACACTACTCTCGCACAGTACAGAGCCATGGTCGAGGATTTCCTCGACCGTTATTCACCCTGATCGTGAGAAAGGCCCGGTAGACTAAGTCGAATCGTTGCTTGGATTATAAATACCCTGAAACTATATTGAGTGACCGATTTTTCCTAAATTGTTAGTATACCTTGCTTCCTGTGAC